TTCCTAACACAGCTCGGGAATTTCCGGAGCAGGCTGAGTCACTCTTACGGTGGGTGGGCATTGTCTCCAGCCCCAGGCATTGTCTCCAGCTTCCGGCCAGAAGGAAGGGAGAAGGTCACAAAGGGAGCACATGGGAACACAAACACAGCAATGCCTCCCCAGCCCCTCGCCTTTGTCTCCTCAGGTGTCAACAATGTCCTGGGCTCCTTCGTCTCCTCATACCCCATCATGGGCAGCTTTGGCTGGTGGGTAGCAGGAGGGGGAGCAGGGCACTTGCTGGGGCTGCGTGGTGAGAGAGCTCTGCAACATCCTGAGTGAAAGACTGTGCTGTCCCCAGTGGGTCCCTGAGCTCATGTCCTGGTCCCCAGCAGCCCACCTTGGTGGCCGGGCTATGCGTGTGTCCCAGTGGCCACCTTCCCTTCTGTGGAGGGCCACCTCCCTTCCTGCTGTGTGGTCCTGGAAGCCAGGGCTTGCTCGTGTTCCTCCCTGACAGGGCAGGTGGTTCTCCTGGGTGGGGTCTTTGGGCAGCATGAAGGAGCAGCCCCAGCCTCCCCGTCATGTGGGTTTGGGGTCTGCACACCCACAGGAGGGCTGGTCACAGGTACAGCCCAGCCCTGCCCCTGCCCTTCTCTGTCCCCAGGCTGCTGCCTGTGCTGGGGACCCCTGGACATCAGGGACCTCTGGGTGTCGGGGACCTCTGGGTGTTGGGGTGCCCACGGCTCAGGGTCCCTCTCCCGCAGGTGCCCTGGTCCTGCTGTCCCTGGCTTACCTCACCTCTCTCTTCTATTACACCCCCAAAGTGGCGGTGGCCACCACGATCATCTTGGCCGTGGTGCCCATGTTTGATGCTGGCATCTTCTGGACGCTCTGGCGGGTTAAGAGTGAGGGCATCAGTGGGCAACAGGCAGTCCCCCAGTCCAGCCATCCAGGAGCCACTCCAGCAGTCATACCTGCCCTCCTGAGCTGGCACAGAGGCCCCTTCATGGCTGCCCTGAAGCGATACGCAGAATAAATAAATTCCACAACCAGATATAGTTATGAAGTGGGTATGTATGTCAGCACCCGGCACAAGTGAGATAGCTCTCATGAAAACGAGAGCTTTTATCCTTTTATCCCCTCCCAGACAGGCTTAAGTCTGGGGGTGGTCTCTGAGTGTCCCATCAAGGTCTCTGAGCATTCCATCACTGCCTCTAAGTGTCCCATCACAGTCTCTAAAGTGTCCCCTCACTCTCTCTTGAGTGTCCCATCATGTGGCTGCCCGCCTGTGCCTGGGTCCTTTGTCACAGCCCCTTCCAAGGGCTCCCACCCAGAGCTCTACCTGTAGCTCCACCGAAGCTGCCCCAGCCACCTGCACAGAATGGATTCCTCAAGACCTGGGTGCAGCCCGGCTGTGCCCGCAGAGCTGGCACTGTCACTGAGTGCCCTGTGCCACCAGGACCGGCCACAGCTGAGCCTTGCTTCTCTCTCTTCTGTGTGACAGAAGGGCACCAGGTCCAGTATGGAATCGTGGCTGGGGTGCTGGTTTCTGGGGTTCTCCGGCTCTACTCCATTGCCAGGCCACCAATAAAAGTGAGCTTCTCCCCTCGCCTTAGCTAGTTTTCCCAGCTTTTCAGAGACGGGGCAACTGAGAGGTGTTTTAAAAGATTTTACTCCATTATCAGTCCCAATGAAGGGTGAGACATAAGAGATGTAAAACTCAATGCCATTCTATCAGAAGCCACCCCATTTCCTGGTTACAATACCTTATAAATGTTTTTCAGCCTATTAGCTTTTGCCCCACAATGCTGCTAACACTTCTAACACCAATCACCCATATTTTTACCACATCTGCTTAGGACTGATAAGAACTGTAGGATCCCATTGTGAGATGCTTTGCCCAAAGGTAGGAGCCAAGTATTCTACCCAGATATAATCTGGAGATTCTGGAATACCAACACAGCTTCTCCACTGGATTTCCCAGAGGAAGAGCAGCTGCCTCTTCTTCCACTGGATCTTCAGAGGAAGACTACACCCTTCTACAGGATCCCTGCTCCAGCAGAACCACACCTGACACTCCAGGAGGACTGCAGCCACAATTCCAGTTGGACTGCTACCAGCACCCCGACCTGTTGGGTGTCAGGTTGAGTCCTGACTCTGTCAGTGTTGTTTTAGTGTACTGCATTGTTTATTTTATCCTTTTATTTTCTTCCCTATTAAAGAACTTTTATTTCCTGCTCCCATATTTTTTGCCTGAGAGCCCCTTAATTTAAAATTTATAGCAATTTGGAGGGGGGTGGGGGGTGGTTCACATTCTCCATTTCAGGGGAGTTTCCTGCCTTCCTTAGCAGGCACCTGTCTTTCCAAACCAAGACATAACCATACAGGAATATCCAAAGCCAGTGATGCTCAGGGTGCTTGCTCACCACCCTCTGAGCAATGCCCAGCCAACCCCTGAGCAGTGATGCCGAATTTTGCCCCAAAAGGCGAGAATAACTGCCTAAGAGACTCAGTTTAAGTCCGCATACACAGGAGGTATTTTATTACGATGCGTCGGAGAAATCACAAAAGGGATTTCTGAGTATCCCGTAACAAAAGCAGGCCTTTTATACAGTTTTGGATGCAGGGTTACATCATATCTCATGCATATTCATAAGGGGCGTGGTGTGGGCGGAGCATGGGCAGGGACATCTCTTTTGAGGATCATCTTGGTGGTAGTTCCGGTTGCCTTCATCGTGGTCAGGGGGTCTCCTGATGAGTCTTCCTCCTTAAACTTTGAACTCCTATCCTAATATGGTCAATTCCCGGTGTACTTGGCTTGGTCCCCATGGCTTGGCAAGGCTCTTAGGGTCAGTTTGACATTGTTGGCTCTGAACATGCTTAGCTCATCAATTCCCCTATCCCTATCTTGATAGAACAAACAGAAGAATCCACCAGGATTGCTTTCGGGTTAATGAGTAACCTGGCGTACAGCATCATCAGCAATTCCTGAATGTGGATGGGGCGAACCCCCTTGTACATAACGTGAGACCACCCGCCGGTGATATGGGTTAGGGGTCGCGTCAGTAGCTAACCGTGGAATGGGATAGGACTGTTTAGGATTGATTTTCAGTTTGTGGCGCTGCCTAAGCATTTTGATCAATAATGCCCTATAGGTACCACTGAAAACAAAATTATGTTCATAGGTTGCAAAATGCTGATTGGAAAGGCAGTTTGGGGCTTCAGCAGTGGCCCTCACCCCTTGGCCAGATCACCCCAGTGTTTCCTTCAGCACCATGCCCTGTGCTCTGCAACATCCCTCTGGGCACTGGGGCAGCTCTCCTGGCTCTGCCCCCTCCCAGCTCCTCGCTGCCCAGGCAGCCTGGAAGCCTGAGAAGCCCTTGGCTTAGTGGAAGCACTGCTCAGCAGCAGCTCAACCATCCGGCTCTGATCAACAGCAGCCTCATCCTGAACTCAAACACAGCTCTGAACCCGCGCCTGGGAAGAACATTGCCTCTGTCCCAGGCAGAGCCAGGGCATGATCCTTGCTTTGGCTCTGCTTTCCCCCCTCCTGTCCCAGAGTGGTGCAGGGCAGCAGAGCTGAGGGGCAGCAGGGCAGAGCCCTTTGTGAGCACTGCCGAGAGCACCGGGCTCATCCAGTGAGACCATTTTGGGCTGAACGTCCTGTTCCACCCCAGTGACACCAACACCCTCCATGGGAGCCACCTGCCCCATCCTGGGCACAGGGATAGGCTGTCCCCATGTCCCACACCGAGATGGACAGAACAGTGCCAGCCCAACCCCACACAGGCTGTGGGACAAAACTGTTCCTTGTCACAGTGACCAGTGGAAAGCCATCCTTCCTACAGGGAGCTGCTGACATTCTTTAAACAACTCTTTTAATTCTGGACCTTTTTCATGTTCTGGGCCGCTCCAGTGTTGATGCTTGGTGAGCTCTCAAAGCTATTTCAGGGCTGCTGTGCTGCCCTCCAAGCAGACACGGGGGCTCAGCCTCTAGCTGAGGAGAGAGAAAACATCTGGGATTGTACTTGTGGTATATGTTATGGAATAATTCGTTCCTGTGTAAAATATAAATGAAATAAGCTGTGCTTGTACGAAAAATTCTTAAAGATTTAAAACCACAAACTGCAGCCAGGGAATTGCTTTGCAAATTACGAAATCCAAAAAGACATGGCTCCCTGCGGAGATGGCCTTTCCCAGGACATTCCAGAGATACCCAAGGGATGAATACTCAATTAGTCAGAGTCGTGAAAAATGCGTATCCCCAATACCAGGTTCCCATAACTCGACAATCAGCATTCAGCACTTCCCGGAAACGGTTTTGTCCAGCCCAGCGCAGAGAAACGGAAACTACATGAATATATGAAGCGAGGAGAAGACTAGGAGAAACTCTGCCCCAGGCGAAAAAACATGCATAAAACTAGCCCAGCAGAGACAGCTTTTGTGCACAGAGGGGACCCTGGGCTCGATGCTGTCCCTTTGATTGTGGCTATCTGAGACCAAATCCTGGTCATGAAATTAAAAAAAATAAAATTGATTATTGATTTGGCTTTATGATTTATTACTTATAACATACTCCTTACTGGTTTTTATCCTTAGTTATCCTTAGCTTTTTTTATCCTTATCTTGTCTGTGGGGTGTTGTGCCAAACGCTGCCCTGGGTTAGGGCTGGGCTGTCACCCTGGGGTGGAGCCCCTGGCTGGGCCCTGCCGAGGGGACAGGCACGGTGGCACCAGGCTGTGCGATGGGGACAGCACCTGAGGCTGGGCAGGGTGGGGAATTCGGTTTCCCTGAACAGCCCTCGGGACATCGAGGGTGTAATAAATCAGAAGCTGCTAATGAGTCAGTGGGATCTCTACCTTCCTGAGGGAAAGCTTTTTATTTTTGTGGTGGAAGGGGAGTTGTCTTCTGCATGTGGCTCAGTGTGCGGGGGTGTGGTGGGGAAAGAAACCGAAAGCAAACTGGGGCAGTGCGGGTGTGGTGCGGAAAGAAACCGAAAGCAAGCTGGGGCAGTGCAGGTGATCCGAGCCCGAGGGCACATTGTGCACAGCTCCTGCTGCCGGAGGTGCTGGAAGGACGGAATAGGTGCCCGGGAGCCACACACCTGCCAGGACTCTGGGTCCTGCCCTGGAGAGTACTGAGCTGTGGGTATGTCAGGAGGGAGAAAAGAGGGGCACGGGGGTAAAATGGGCTGCTTGTTTAGGGCAGGGCTGCTGGGAGCCCGTCTTCGGCTCGGTCCTGGTCGGATCCGGGATGGGGCAGCAGCCGTGCCCCCACTTTTGACTGCGGAATCCGCTTTTGGTTGTCAGGACCAGCACAAAGTGCTCTCCTCCAGCACACCTGCCCTCACTGCTGCTGCCGGGT